TCTTCAAACTATGTCAAAAACTGAAAAAGACAAAAATGGAAATACAAGGTTTTGTTCCGACAACAGCATTACATTTTTTTTGCATTGACATCAGTAACCATGAGGGATATGATGTCTGAACTCTGTTTATATGTAGCAGGCTAATACAGTTAATGTAATCATTGTTTTTTATTACTCTTTGTGTCTACAGCCACATACATACACACCTATACGCCCATGTAGCAACTCTCAGAGTTCTCACTCTATTTCATGGTTCTTCGAGCTGGATTGGTGGCAACCTTAGAAGCAAATATGGATTTAGAGCATGAAGACATAGAACTACCTTCAGTGCCCTCACAAATCCAGTGGGAGAGACATACTTCAGCCTACCTTGATGATTATGAAGTTGGGTACTGTCCACATCCAGTACCAGCTCCTCCACTCCCCTCCACTTCCTCACATAAGTCCGTTGCTGGGTCGCACTGCAGTAGACTGAAGTCACAGGTCAGTGCGAACTCCATTTCTGGTTGCTCTACTACCGAAGTGCTGACTGCTATACAGGCTTTATACAAGAGTTAGAGGAACATATTAAACATTTGGACTTCAGAGTTGCAGCGCCAGAAACACGTAGCTGAACGGTGTCAGCTGTTAGATAGTCAAGCATGCAAAAGCGCTCTATCAGAGAGAGGAATTACTCAGAACACAAGAACAACAGTTATAAATTAGATGAGGAGGCTCAAGCAAATAAATGACAATTGTTTTTTCAGACTGCCCTGCGATGGACTGGCGACCTGTCCAGGGTGTATCCTGCCTTCCGCCCAATGACAGCTGGGATAGGCTCCAGCACCCCACGCGACCCGAGATAAGGGTTTAGATGATGTAGAGATGTTTTTTTCAGAGAAAGAAACAGAACTTGAAAGGTCATGTCTCATTGCAGTACAGGCCAAAGTGATTGAAATCACAGGCCAAACGCATTTCAAGTCAAGCCGCTGACCTGTTCCCTGAGCCAAGTAAAACCATGAAGAAGCTGCAGAAAGCTCAGAGATGAACATCTACTATTTACTATGGTGCAGAAAACATTGCGGTAAAGGACCCCACCCTATCATCCAGTACTAAGGGAGTCTTCACAAAGTTTAAGGAGCAGCCAAAAGCATACTGCCCTCAGTGTTCTCGGTTGTCACAGTATCTGAGTGCCTGTGTCAAGTTCAAGTCACTGACCACCAAATAAATGTCAGAACGGCTTAAAGACAAAGGCTGCTGGCTTGTGGACAAAATCATAAACCTGACACCTGCACCCCTAAGAAAATTTGCAGGATCTGTAAGAAGCAGTACCTTACAGTATTACATGAAGCAAGTCAGCAAGAGCCTCGTCAAGTCCTCATGGTCAGCACCTCTCCCTGAGATTATATATCTTGATCGTCCAAATCACCCCAAAAAAGTTATGTTAAAGGTAGTCTAAGTTGAACAATGGGGAACAGTCAATGGAAGCCTTTGCAGTGTTCAATGATGGTTCAGAGTGTACTATAATTCTTTCTCCTGCTGTTAAACATCTTGGTCTGAAGAAAGAGGCAGAAACCCTTTTATTAAGAACAATCCGCCATAATGTCATACAACTGCAAGGGTCATCAGTCTCCTTTGACATATCATCTGCACACAATCCAGTCAAGAGAGACCCCCCCCTACCTACTTGTCTGTACCCAACCAGTAAGAGTCGGTCCACCTGAAGGTCTCCAAGGCCCATCAAACCTAGCTCATTTGTCGACGGGTGATCAGCAGTGTCTCTTCACCACAATTACACCTCCAGTTTCTGACCTCCTGCGCCCTGTAGAATGACTGTGGCAGTAAGACACCTTGCCTTATGTTAAAGAGAAAAGTGTCACCCAGTCAAAGTTGGTTCAGCAAGCTTTGGCTATGTTGGAACAACGCACAACCGGAGTAGAGGTGGAAGGAGTAATAAGATATTCAACACCTCTTCTGCACCACAAGGACTCACCACTCCTTAAAGCACCCACAACAGTCTTCCTTTCCTTGTTACGGGGCACAGAGTACTGGATAGCTAAGGACGTGAAGCAATCTGAAGCCTACCCTCAGGAGCTAAAAAATTATGAGCAAGCAGGCTATGTCCAGAGGTGGTCACTTGAAACTGTTGAGTCCACCATGGCATCTTGGTTCATTCCACACCATCCAGTCTATTACAATGGGAAAGCCAGGCTGGTCTTCAACTGTTCCTTTTCATATAGAGGCCATAGTCTCAATGACAACCTTCTGACCGGTCCTGTCTTGGGGCCCACCTTGTTGGGTGTCCTACTCAGATTTCTAGAACACACTATTGCCATAAGTGGGGACATCAAGGTGATGTTAAATCAAATCCACCTACAACCCCAGGACATACCACTACTGTGTTTCCTCTGGAAGGGAAAAAGGGAGGATGAACTAACTGTGTTTGAATGGCAGGTACTCTCCTTCGGGGCAACATGTAGCCCCTGTTACGCCACTTATGGTCTTCAATGGCACGTGAGAGAGTACAGTGAAAGCAACAAGGATATTGTACATTCCATAAAACAAGCATTCTATGTAGACAACTGCTTCTAAAGTCTTACCTCTGCTGTGAAGGCCTAGGACCTCATAGAACAGAATCGGGAGCTGCTGGCCCTAGAGGGTTTTGAAATACAGTGGGCCATTAACGTTCCAGAAGACCTTCCTGCAGATGCTAGAGCACAGAACGATTGCTCTTCCAACACTGCCAAGACCCAGAAGAACCTACAATAGGCCTATGCTGGAATTTCCCCACAAATCATTTGGGCTATATGCATGAACCTGTGGAATACACTGAACCATCTCTGAAGAATGTGTCTAAGGTATTAGCCACACAGTATGACCCCACAGAGTATCTTATATCCTTCACAACGAGAGCTAAAGTCCTCATACAAGATCTGTGGAAGGCAGAAATAGGCTGGGGTGAGCTTATCCTATCAGCTGGTCTGCTGGAGTGATAGAAAACCTGGCAGTTGGATCTTGTAGACCTATCTCTGGTGGGAGTACCCAGATGCAACCTTCCCCCCATGTGCAGACAATGAAGCAGCACGTAGAGAAGCACATGTCTTCTGCAATGCTTCAGAATGAGTATATGGTTCTGTAGCACAGTGTGCACAGGAGCATGTTCATGTGTCATTTGTGATGGCAAGATCCAGGGTGGCTCATTGCAAACAAATTTCTATGCCACGCCATCCCTGTTGACAACATAACTATGTGGACCGACTCGACAACAGTACTGAGATGGATCTGATCTGATTCATGCTGCTATAAAGTGTTAAGGCCACTTATCTGTTTCTTCACGGGATGGCCAACACTCCAGAGATTGTGTCCATTTACTCAAACAGGCACAAATGGAGAACTTATCCACTCTATCCACCAATAAGTCAGTATAGCTGTTTAGCTGCTCTCGCACCAGAGTATGATGAAGCCCTTGGTCTTATATAGGTTGGAGGAAGACTTTGCAGAGCAGAAGATTTAGATCCAGACACCATCCATCCCATAGTACTGGATTCCAAGCACCATGTCACACAGCTGCTCATCCAGAAATATGATGCACCATCCTGGGCCTGAACATGTCTTCTGTGAAATCTGGCACAGATACTGAGTCTTAAGGAGGATAGGGGCAATTAAATGGCACCAGCATAAATGCCCTGAATGCCAAAGGTGGCGAGCTGGTCCAGTGATACCCAAGATGGCTGACTTACCACTGCCAGGCTCCATCTGTATAAGACACCCTTTTGGTCTACTGGAGTAGACTGTTTCCACCCATACAACATTAAGCTTGGACAGCGATGGAAAAATGCTGGGGAATTATATTCAAATGCAGGATGACAAGTTGTGTACCCCTAGATATCCTGGAGAGCACAGATGTGAAGTTTTTTTTACAGGCGTACTCTAAAATATATTTCTGCTTATTCCACTCATTCACAGAAAATGTGTTTAAGCCACTGTTATAATGTTCTATAAATAGAAATGATGTTTTATATTTGACAGAAGTGTTAAAACATTTCATGCTGCTCTGAATCTGAATTGTGAAAAGGGGGGCATAAATAAAAACGTTATGGTGAAAACTTACTAGCACCTCACAACCCGGGATGTATTGGGGGTCTTAAGATTAGGAGTTCTCCATGGTTAGAGATTTTCAGCTTGAATGTGAACAGAAGGAACTGTTATTTAGCTAGAACCCTGTAATTGTTTCTTGACACTAAAATAGTTTGGGTTATATTATATGCATACGCACAGGAGCAGGAAGCAAGTCACTAACAGCAGCTTGAACAGGAAGAGGCCAGTTAACCCTGTTGACAGTAGAATGACAGATGCAGACACGGGGAAGGGCTGTTACTTAGTCGAATTAACCTCTCAGTCACGTGATGTTCTTCTGCTCATGAAGTCATCATGTGACTGTCAGAAACACCAGACTACTTTTATGCTAATCATTGTTTTACATCTACAGCAGCTCTCAGACCACAAAGTAACCCACTATGTTTAATGCTGACTAGAGCAGAGCTGTTCTGGAGTGCACAGTTTAGAGCTCCCCTGCACCACAGATGGATGGATGGATGGATGGATGGATAGATTATAAATTCATCAAAGAAGTTGTTTGTGGAACAAAGCAGTGTTAGAGCAGGAAAAACAGTATTTTAGCACAGCAAGATTGGATCTGGGCTTGATAAGCCTTGAGAACTACTTAGCTACTAAACAACCCACGGCAGCCAATAGTGTACTTCTAGCATTTGCCCTTACCAAACAGTGTCGGATTCCAAATCATCACATATTTTTGCTGAATTCACCTGTAAGAGGGACAAAAATAGTGTCTGGTCTTTTCACATTTTGAACACAGGAAGCTACTAGAGTTTTGTCATTTCCTGAACTGACAGCAGACAAGCACTAATAATAGGAACATGCATATGAAGTGCAGATGATTATCAGTGTTTTCAGACAGACACCGTAATTCAGCCTTTCAGTGAGTCTTTTACAGATCAGAGATGTCTCAGAACATTTCTGACTTTGTGATCAGATTTAAAGAGCTAATCAGAGGAGAGCGAGATGAGATGGTGGTGGTTATCTATGAGAGTGTAGATGCTGTTAGTTGTCCTGACCCCAACACAGAGATGGAGGACACCAACAGCAAGAGGAGACCAGAAAGTCTCAACACAGGTACTGGAAAGTTTGGAATTTTTTGCTGCATAATGAAGTCAGCTGATGTAAAATCAACTGTGAGGTACAGTGGTAAGACTTGAGAAGGCACTGGTGAGCTCACTCATCACTCGCGACCCCATGTAATATTCACTGAATGTGCACTGAGCTAGTGACGCTACTGTTACCTCCAGCCAGTACAAGTCATTCGGAGTAACATTTCATTCTGCAGCAGTTGTGATTAGACTGACAGCCTGTGTCAAAGTCTCACACTTATGCTTCTCTGAAATGCAAGTGTGCATATAGGACCATTATTGGGCACCCCTGCCCCAGGGCCTATTCGTCCTTTCAAAGTATTAGAATTCCAGTACTACTCTTAGTTCATTGTTAGGTTTTGGATGGAAACACAAGAGTTAAATTCTTGAAACACCTAACATACGACTGGCTAATCAGGAATAGTTCTTATTTGCAGTATCTATGTAGATATAGCTAAGCTTGTTGTTTAGGACTTTTAGAGCTGAAGAGAAGTCCTAACATGCTACATTGACCATCCATATAATTACAATGTGACAGAGGAATCAACAGATCATGTATCGATTTCCAGGCAGGAGCAGTTATGTGAGGAAAAAACTTCTCATTAGGTTTTCAGGAAGTCATAGATTTGTCCCTGAGTGTAAATATGAGCAGCAGCCTAATCAGTGAGAATACAACCCCGATTCCAAAATAGTTTGAAGTACGTGAAATGCTAATAAATACAGAAAGCAGTGATTAGTAAATTTGGCTTGTATTAAATTGAAAGCAGTATAAAAGCACTATTTTATTTTTACTTTATGGATTTAATTGCCTTTTGCAAAATGGATGCTCATTCCAAATTTGATGTATATGACACATTCGAGAAAAGATGGGACAGGAGCATGTTTACCACTGTGTTACATCATCTTTCCTTTTAACATCATTTAATAAATGTTTAGGGACTGAAAACATCAATTGATCCAGTTTTGAAAGCGTAATTCTTTGCCATTCCTCTGTTACACAAGTTTTTACCTGTTTGATCGTACAGGGGCTTCATTGTCGTAATTTGTGCTTAACGAGACCCATGTTTTCAATAGGAGACAGGTTTGGACTTCTGGCAGGTCAGTGTAGCTCCTGCACTCTCTGATTGCGCTGCCATGCTCTTGTAACACATGCAGAACATTTCTTGGTGTTACGTTGAAATTAGCATGGTTGTCCCTGAAAAACAGATGCTGTTAACATCACAAGGCTTCCTATTCATTTTCCAACCAGTGACCTCCTCCTTTATAACATCTCTGTTAATATATCAGCTGAATTATGCTGCAGTGTTAACTGAATGAATAAAGGCTTAACTGCATTAAACACTGCTGTGAGTAACCTCTGTATTTTGGTCCAATTTTGTGTCCGTTGCAGAGAGCAGATACAGCAGACTGGCTGCAGTGTGTCTGGGGCTGCTCTGTGTTCTCCTGCTGACTGCCATCACAGTGCTGTGGATCAATTTCAACAACTGGCCTACAGAAAGAGACCAACTACAGACCAGTTACTCCGACCTAAAGAAAGAGAGAGACCAGCTACAGAAGGAAAGAGATGGATTCTGGGAAATGTTTTTGAAACTGGGTAAGTGAACATCTGTGAACCTCAAAGACCACAATTTTAGAATCTCTACAAATACAAACAGCTCAGTATCTAACACCATCCATTTTAATTTAGGCTTAAATATGCATGAAGATCTAAGAGCAGGCAGGGGGGCTACGGCCAACCCTTAAACAACTGCTGGCCCTCCTATTGCCCCCCCAGGCAAACCCCCTACCCTCATGCTCCCACTCGAACTTTCATTTTTGACTTGAAGGCTAGAGCAACTTGGCTATCAGTGGCCTGCTGATCAACTGTCTGACCTCTCCTATCTTCACACTTCCAGTTCACCCCCCTGCCCCCCACCCTGCTCACACTTTCACATCACAAGTATGTCTCAGCTGTCCAGCTTTGCCTTTAAGCAGAGAGGTGGTTGTCGACTGGCAGAATTGCCCAACCTTTCAACAGGCTACCTTAAGCAGCTGAATAGCACTAAAAGGATGAAGGCCGAGGCTGAGGCCTACTGTTCTACATCTTTTTCATGGTCAAGAACAGAGCAGTGATGTACTCAAGAGCGTGGTGTCCATCAGTCTGCAGTAGCTGAACCTGAGAACTGTTCTAGCATACAGGCTTTTATACTGTGTATTTCCCCTGCAGCTGTTGGTACATGTGCTAAGTGTTCATGTCAGGACAACAGACATTCTGTCAAACACATACAAGTAGCTGTTTGTGCATATACTAAGGACAATAGACCGTCTGTTTAAACATACAAATAGCTGTTTGTGAAGTCAATAAGGACGACAGACATTCTATTATTAGTCAGGAAACATATACAATCAATATTTAAGGTAAGGTAGCCATGTGATCAGTGCTTGGTGAGCTTTGCAAGGAAAATAGGAAGAAAATAACTTAAAATGAGAATGAAAAAGAATGTTGATGAGAAATAAAAGCGCAGAAGTGTTTCTGTTAGATTACGATTATATGCATTTAGGATTTGTGTATCATCTATACTGGAACTAAACCGTATCTCCAAATGGAAACTTTGCAGGAGGGAAAAAACCTTCTTAACTTATAGTGGGAATTAATGTAACAAGCTTTTTTGGACCATTTCTATTGATCTTTTTATTATGACATTTAACACAATGTAAAGGTTAACTGGAGTTTCAAATTATGCAAAAAAAAGATGGAGAATGGAGGTTTTTGCCAAACAGCGATCATATTCTGGGTTGGTGCACATTCACAGTGCTGCAGTAAGCAAAACACAGCTACAAATCTTGGTGCAGACGTGCCTGTACCTTGTAAAATGTTGACATATTTAGTTTAGTTTAGCTTTAGTAAATGAGTAAAATTTCACTCTCCTCATGAAATTCAGATTCAAAAATACCATAAAATGCCAGTAACTTTGTTTCTGTCCACATCTGGTTACAAGCCAGTTCAATGAGGTGCTTTGCATCTAAAAATATGAACCAAACCAGGAGAACAGAAGTCTGACAAGCTCAAACAATGATCATGAACAAATTAGTAGTTTATTTATTGTTTAAATTCTACTCTGGCTTTTGGGGGGTCTCTTGAAGACTCTAACGATTGGGGTTGATAGGTGGGCTGCATGTGCAGAGTAGCTTTATTAGGGCAAATCCAAAACTCACAGTCACAAAGCAGATTCATTTAGAAAAACAGTAAACAAAGCAAGAACAAGAACAAGGCTGGAGATACTTCAACTTCAGTCTTTACTACATCTCTACTGAGAAGAAGAGCTGGAGTGAGAGCAGACAGTTCTGCACAGAGAGAGGAGCAGACCTGGTGATCATAAACAGCAGAGAAGAACAGGTGAGAGAGAAAGAGAGAGAGAGAGAGAGATAATAGACCACTGTTAATTACATTGTCTTACAACATTCACAGGAGTTCATCAGTAAAGAATTTGGCAGCACTGAAGCTTGGATTGGTCTGATGGACATGGAGAAAGAGGGGGTCTGGAAATGGGTGGACAACTCAGCACTGACCACTGAGTAAGAGACCTCTGAACTGAACTCTGCTCATGATGCAGTTATTCACTCTCTCTAAGAAGGTCTAGAGGTGTAATAGTGAAGATAATCTGATTCTCTGTGTTTCAGGTTCTGGTTGAAGGGGGAACCCAATGATTTTAATAAAAATGAGAACTGTGCTGTTACTGGCTCTAAACATGCTAAATCTGAAAATGTATCAACCTGGGCTGATTATCCCTGTGATCATCCTGTAGTTGGAATCTGTGAGAAAAAAATAACTAAGTGTGAATGAACTTTTATTTTATTCTTTTTATTTTTAAATAATGGAAAAGAATACTTGCTATTCATCAATGTGTTTATTGATCAGTTCAACTATTAAAACATTATAATGATTGGGAGATGTGTTTGTGCTTGTTGTTTTCTGTTTAATGAATAAAAAGACATTAGATAAAATATTATGGGTAATTTAACTCAGAAACCCAATTAATAGGGGTCCAGATAGGCTAACATGACAGCACAGTACAGTATGATTACAAATCTATGATCACACATTTTGTTGTCTTGTTATCTACAAAAGTGAACCATACCACACCTGAGTACCTGTGCTGAGCTTCAACGTATGGGCAGAGCTAGAAATAATGCAGACCACTGGTCAGACACAGTGTTTGACACGGCTGTTGTCATAACCATTTTAGACAGTAACAGTTTTCTGTCCAAGTAAAACACAACAGCTACCAAACACATCGAGCAGCGTTTGATTGAAGTCTATTCTGCTTGTAAAGAGTAGTGATGATCCTCCATGATCATTTTTTCTATTCAGTATTCAGCAACACACAGCTCACCTGTCAGGTACTGCATTGAATATGTATGGAAAACTGACTAGCATAGCCTTAGCAGCTTTAACCAATGAGTCTATGTCAGGGGTGCACAGCTCTGGTCCAGCATACTTTTGGAGGTTTCCCTACTCAAACACACCCACTAAACCTTGCAATTGACAAATAAGTGTAATCAGGTGTGTTTGAGCAGGTAAAACACCAAACAGTATTGGACACCAGCCCTCCAGGACTGGAGTTGTGCACCCCTGGTCTATGTTATTAAAGAAACTTAAAGACAAAGACAATGACTTTTATTCATAGCTTTTGAGATTTTTATTTTTTTTTTGTATTCGTTGCTTGTTGCAGTTACAAAGATACACTTACAGACAGAGACCAGTCATAGACCAGATATAATGACATGACCATAGAGAGAGAAAAGTTATAGACCAGTAACAGAGACACATGATTCTGATTGATTGTGAAATTCTGAGTCTTACTGAATTCATATTAGTGAAAATTGAACAGTTCCATGTAAAACTTTTCTTCCGTGTAAGAATCCAACCTGATTCTTTCAATAGCTGCTGTTCATAGATTCTCAGTTTCGCACTGAATTTATATAAATATAAGACAATACATTTATTACTGAATAGCGCCCTCTGCTGGTTAGAACTAAAATCCTCTGGCTTCTGTTACAGATGCTTCCTCTGTATGAGCTGAATGTCAGTGAGTTATTTCCATGTCTGTGATTCTCATCAGACTGGTAACTGTTGCCCTCAGCTTGACCTTTCTGAGTCTGGACTCAAATTACTGTAAAGATGCTTTGTGGCGATAACCAGGTTTCCATCCACATATTTTAAGGCATGTTTTGACAGGTTGATTAAAAAGGGCTTGATGGAAATGGAAAATACTGAATAGAATTGTGAAAACATTTTATATCATTGATGTTGGGACCAAACCTCCTCATCTCTATTTTGTTGCTTTTGTGGACATAATTTGAATGACACTCCATGAAAATTTCATCATAAATTGAAAAATAGAAATGGTTGAAAATTCTAGGACCCAGACATTTCTCTGTTCATTTTTATTAAGGCTGCAGGCACCAGCTGACTATTGAAGAAATTAAAACGCATCTTAAGTTTATTAAGAAAAAACAGTATTTATATAGAGTGAAATTAGAGCACATGGTAACATTTATTATTCACTAGAATTTAATAAGATTTAATAAGCTTTTGAAGAAAAGCACAAAAACAGTCAGCAGAAATGAATTAAAACTTTTCTGAAGAAGAATCATCTGAGGCAAATGATGCCCCTCCTACACTTCAACTATGTTGTTTATACACGGTAATGTCACTCTCACCAACACAAAAACAATAGGGCTATAAACTTCTGGAAACAGTAACTTCTGGAAGACCTTACACAAAACACAGTAATAGCAATGACTTGGAGGGCTAAGCTGGAGAAGAAGAAGGGCCAAGTGTAATGTCCCAGCCTCATGCTAGGCCACCTCTAGCAGCTAGAGGGAGCCAAGGTATCAATAAGGGGTGATTAGGGCTGAGCAGTAACAGCTGTGGGCACACTACTTAAGGGGTGCTCTCACACTGCTTTCTGCTCAGTCTCGAGTTCACACTGCTATGTGTGTGGGTAATTTTGGTTTCCTCTCTTGAGTACGGGTTTCTTGAGTATCTCTCAGCGTAAGTATATAAAAAATTGCGTTCACCTTTAGTTCTCTGAAACTATCTTTAGTTTGAAGATGCTCTTCTGGTGTTTTTTTTTGTTGTTTGGCCTTAATTGCCCCTTTTTTGGTTATCAGCCCTCCTGCGAAACTCTCTACAGCGCCACGAGGTTGCGAGTTTGAGTCTCTGTAAAGCAACCCCCAGCAAAACGAATATGAATGTATTTTTGAAGGATGAATAAAGGGGATGTTATTAGACGTAGGACCGTCATGTCAATGATCAAAAATGCTGAAGACTCAACAGTACAGCGAGGCTGTAGCAGCTCTCCAGGTAAAGAACAACATGGCAATGTTGAACCAGAGGTTAGCCTGTGAAGCCTACTGAACAAGCTTAAGGACTTCAGATGTGACAACAAGCAACAACTGACTGACATCAAACAAGAACTAACAGAAAAGTGGACTGATGAGGCAGAAATCAGGCTCCAACCAGCAGCAGCGCTACTGAAGTGTATAGTTATAAGGTTTGGGGGCTATTACTTTTTCACACAGATGATATAGGTTTTGAATAAATCTTTATCTTCAATAAATGGAACGATTATTTAAAAGCTGCATTTTGTGTTTACTCATGTTGTCTTTATCTTATATTAAAATTGTTGGATGATCTGAAACTTTACTTTTTCACATCACTGTATATATTTAAAAAAAAAGATGTGGGTGGAGTGAAAGTGATGACAATGCATTCTTAACCCTCCTCAGGATCAGAATACACTGCTGGACAACATCCAGATACAGGATGCATCTGAATGCTAAATGTGAACAGGAACACAGACAGGAGGCCGGACAAACAGGGAACTGGAGCTTATCAGGAACAGTCAAAGGAGCTGGTGTTGGAGCAGCCCAGAGAGCTGGCAGCTGAACTGGCTCCTCAGTGGGCACAAGTGGAGCAGTGAGTGAGGCTGTAAGGGCAGAGGCAAGGTTCCCAGCTGCTGGCAGGGCAGGAGCAATTTGGCTTTGGGAGAGCAACAGTGACACTATGGACCATGACTGTGCAGCAGTATATGCATTTTTATTTACGATAACTGTATTATATTTCCAAACATAGAAAATAAATAAGGTTCCCAGCTCCATAGTATCATTTATTACACGGCAGAGTTCCAGTCAGTTCAGTTCCCATCTTTACTACATCTCTACTGAGCAGAAGACCTGGGACAGCAGCAGACAGGCCTGCAGAGAAAGACGAGCAGACCTGGTGATCACAAACAGCAGAGAAGAACAGGCAAATAAAATTATGTTCAGAAAAAATATACAGTACAAACATATAAAATCACAGTGTACACATAAAAATATTATAGATTATATTATATTAAATGCTGTTAGATATTGGTATTAGATAGATTATGACTATTGTATTGGAACATTTACTATGTATAAATTACTGCTATGGTGCAACTAAAATGTATATTTATTACATAATTACATTTCTTGTTTCTGCACTTAACAAGTGTACTATATGTCCAAAAGTATGTGGACACCTGACCCTCACAGGAGCTCTTTGGACATCCCATTCCAAAACCATGGAATTAGTATAAAGGTGCTTCCATTTCACAACAATCAAGTGCCCCAAGTTTAAAGTCACTGAGCTGTTAATTATGACTCTACTGCCAGTGTTTGTCTATGGAAACTGCATGACTAGGATTTTGTACACCTGTTAACAATACTGAAACACCTGACGCTCAAGAAGCAAAACAATCACAGTGAAGTAAAAAACAGCTGAAAACACTTAAAAGGCAGATTAGTGCTTTTTCTTTTGGTCTTTTTTGACAACAACAAAATGAAACAGTGATCATTTTTTGGTTTTGTTAAACTTTTAAACTGTAATTGACAGCTAGCCTACATAATAATTGATATCCAGCAGCTCTTTTGCGCCTTTTTTGACAAGGCAGCAGGATTTGATTAAAACTAGTTGTATTAGTTTGCCAGCCCTTTGACATAATATTGCGTTTTTGTATGATTACCACTGACACAATATATCACAAAAAATAAATCAAGCTTTCTTGGGGGCCCTCTGGCATCACAAGGGCTCTAAGTAGCTATTTAGTTTGCGTATGTGTCAGGCCACCTCTGCCTAAAAGTGTTTATTAGAAGAAATCAGTTTATTCATCAGGACAAAATCATAAATATTTCATTTTGCTATTTTATAGTTATGATGAAAAGAGGACTAATGTCTTAAGTATTAAAATAATGTATTAAACATATCAAATAATACTAATGTATCAAATAATGAGTTGTCATTCCCATCACTTTGAAGAAAAAGTTGGAAATGCTTTGAACTTGGTAATGTAACTGGATAGCTAACATCTAATACACATTATTTATGTGTAAATAAAATGACCCTGGCTATTTATGAACTTACATAGTTACATATTTAGTAATGAAGCTTTGGTGTTTTGGAATGATGATGTATTGGAAGTTTTAAGATTAGGATTTCTCCATAATCAGACATTTTCAGCTTAAATGTGAACAGAAGGAGCTGTTATTTAGCTAGAACCCTGTAGTTGTTCCTTTACATTGAAATAGTCTGGGTTATATTGTATGCATACACACAGGAGCAGGAAGCTAGTCACTAACAGCAGCTTGAACAGGAAGAGGCCAGCTAACCCTGTTGACAGTAGAATGATGTCAGGCCAGCAGACGCAGCATGGGGGAGGGGCTGTTACGTAGTCAAATGAACATCTCAGTCACGTGATGTTCCTCTGCTCATGAAGTCATCATGTGACTGTAAGAGACACCACATTTCTTCTATGCTTATCACTGTTTCACATCTACAGTAGCTCTCAGACCACAATGTAACACACTATACTAACGCTGTTTGCTGTCCAGTGTCACCTGGAGGAGGATGGGTTCCCCTTTTTGAGTCTTGGTTCCTCTCAAGGTTTCTTCTTCTTGCTCTTAGGGAGTTTTTTCTTGCCACTATCGCCACTGGCGACGCTCATGGGGGCTCAGACCTGGATTTTTCTGTAAAGCTGCTTTGTGACAATGCCTGTTGTAAAAAGCGCCAAATAAATAAACTTTGACTTGACTTGACTAAGTTCAATGCTGACTCAGCACTGCACAGTTTAAAGCTCCCCTGCACCACTAATGGATGGATGGATGGATGGATGAATTGATTATACATTCATCAAAGATGATTGTTTGTGGAATAAAACAGTGTTAGATCAGGAAAAACAGTATCTTGGCACAGCAGGATTGGATCTGGGCTTGATGAGCCTTGAGAACTACTTAACAACCCTCAGCAGCCAATATTATGCTTCTGCCTCTAGGATTCCAAATCATTACGTATTTTTCTGAAATTGCTGAATTCACCTGTAAGAGGGGCAAAAATACAACAGTCTTACAACAGCATGAAGACATTATGGGCTACATCTACAAAACATTATACACAATTACAGCTCTTTCATGGGACAGCAGCAACATGTAAAAGAGAACATGAGGTCTGGACACTGCTCTTTTCACACTTTGACCAGAGGAAGCTACTGGAGTTTCGTCATTTCCTGAACAGCAGACAAGCACTAATAATACTAATGTGCATATGAAGTGCAGATGATTATCAGTGTTTTCAGACAGAGACACAGTAATTCAGCCTTTTAGTGAGTCTTTTACAGATTAGAGATGTCTCAGATCATTTATGATGTGATCAGCATTGAAGAGCTGAACAGAGGACAGCGAGATGAGATGGTGGTGGTTATCTATGAGAGTGTAGACACTGTTAGACGCCATGACCCCAACACAGAGATGGAGGACACCAACAGCAAGAGGAAACCAGAAATTCACAACACAGGTACTGGAAAGTTTTGTAATTTTCTCTGCATAATGAAGTCAGCTGATGTAACATCAACTGTTAGCTACACTGGTAAGAATCGAGAAGGCACTGGTGAGATCACTGATCACTCATGATCTCATTACTATTCACAGAATGTGCACTGAGCTAGTGATGCTACTGTTACCTCCAGTCAGTACGAGTCAGTAGGAGTATCACTTCATTCTGCAGCAGTTGTGATTAGACTGACAGCCTGTGTCAAAGTTTCACACCTGTGCTTTTCTGAATTGATTAAAAGACTCATTAAGACTGTCAGTGTGCATATATGCACCAGCAGGCCAGTCTAGCACTCGCACTCTTTAATTATGCATTTCTAAGTGAATATAAGAACACATTCTCTACAGAGACCACACTTTTGCACATTTGTTACACAAAATGTTTCATAACTTTTGCACAGACCATATTTTATGCAGAGGAGAACCCTTAGAGCAGGAGTGCTCAATCTTCATCCTGGAGATTTACCACCCTGCAGAGTTCAGCTCCAAGCCTAATCTAACACACCTGTTCCATGATCAATGTCATGAAGGCCTTCAGACGTTTCTGAACACTGGAGTTATGCTGGATCTGATATCTCCAGTGTGGTAGGCCTACAGGACCAGGATTGGGCACCCCTGCCTCAGAATATTTAGAATTACTTTTGCAGTACTTTGATGGAAACACAAGGGTTGAATTCTTGAAGCACCTAACAGAACCTGACTAATCAGGAATAGTTGTTTTCCTGACGTATCTAGGTAGATATGGCTAAGCTAATATTGGTTAGGACTTCTGGAGCTGAAGAGAAGTCCTATTATGTTACTCTGACTGTCCATATAATCACAACATGACAGAGGAATCAACCAATCACGTTTTGATTTCCAATATATGGGACCAATTTTGTGAGGAAAAAACTTCACACTAGGTCTTCTGGAATCATAGATACGTCACTGACTGCAAATATGAGCTGCAGCCTAATCAGTGAGTTATAAGAAAGACAGGTTTGGACTGCAGGCAGCCCAGTGTAGCACCTACACTCTCTCACTACACCACCATGCTGTTGTAACACATGCAGAATGTTTCTTGGTGTTGTCATGTTGAAATAAGCATGAGTGTCCCTGAAAAACAGACAGTGTTGATATATGACTTTGGCTGTGCACAGGGCCGCACTGTGACAGTTGTTCAGGCCAGGAATCATGGCAGGACTACTACTGTATCTGCATGAATAGGTGTTTATTATGGGTGTTTATATGTATGTTCAAGGTAATACTAAATACCCTCCATAACTGCCCACTCCTTAATTACCAGATAAATTACATCCACAAATGATCAATTGTCTCAGCTGAAAAGCACACTTTTTCATGCTAATCACAAGTATCAAGACAAGATTATCTGAAGAGTCACAAATAATCAAACTGCTGTGTACTGATTAGCAAAACTGCACTTTTAAAAGTGTCCATCTATGTTTTGTGAACTTGGGCTGCACAACAAAGTATCAAATGAGACTATTTAACTACTAGTTAGCTAGCTAACGTTAAGATGCCATAGGCTACAAAACACAACCAAACCAAAAGTGATGCGGCAAAACAAGAAATGAGTCAAGAAATGCAATCAGGCCACTGACTAAAACTGCCTTTTATGTCATGCTAATGGTGTGTCTTTATAAACCTAGTTTTTTAAAAGGGTTCTATAGAGCACCCAAATGGGTTCTCCTATTGTTACAAGCTTGACATCATACCAATAGAAGAACCCTTTAGGTGCTATACAGAACCCTTTTCAAAAAGGTTCTCTATAGAACCATCTACAGTACATTCTTAAGAATGCTTTCATAATGCAAAGAGCACTTTAACCATGCAAAGGATTCTTTGTGTGTTTTAAGAGTGTGGTTATCTGTGTACCATGGATTTTGTTGAAAGGGTAAAAAAAAATAATGAAAAATGAACACACAGCCACACACCGCTAACATGCTGTCATTGAAAGGCTATAGTACTGTTACCTTTATTCAGTGTTATGGCCTTAAATTAGCTGAAGAATGCAGACTGACTTGTTTAGAAGATTTGGACTACTGACTTGAGACATGACTTGAGACTCGCCTGTACTGATTTGGGACTTGAATTGAGACTCGATTATCTTGACTTGGGACTTGACTCAGGACTTGAGTGTCAAGACTTGAGACTTACTTGTTACTTGCAACTTAGTAACTTGTTCCCACCTCTGCTATATAATTGGTGAGCTTCCCAGTCAATGTCGTCAGTGTCCCAGTCTTCCTGTTAGCAGGGACCCATTGAATTCATAGTCACTAAGTACTGATTCACTACATACGGAACAGCCCTGCTGAAAATGAAGTGCTGGTCTGGTGTTTGTTTAGCTGTTCTCAGCCGTCTGAATCTACTTACAACGCTGAAATGTTTCAAGTGTGAAAACACCCACAAACTAAAGCACACATGCTTTTGTGTCCATTTCCCACTAGGAGGAGACACTGCAGAGAGCAGATGCAGCAGACTGGCTGCAGTGTGTCTGGGGCTGCTGTGTGTTCTCCTGCTGGCAGCCATCACAGTGCTGTTAATCAAGTTCATCAACTTGAGTATAGAGAGAGACCAGTTAAAGACCAGTAACACCAACCTGACTATAGAGAGAGACCAGTTAAAGACCAGTAACACCAACCTGACTACAGAGAGAGACCAGTTACAGACCAGTTATACCAACCTAAAGAAAGAAAGAGGCCAGCTACAGAAGGAAAGAGATGGATTCTGGGAAATGTTTTTGAAACTGGGTAAGTGAACATCTGTGAATCTCAAAGTCCACAATTTTAGAATCTCTACAAATGGCATAACAGCTCAGTATCTAACACCATCCATTTTAATTTAGGCTTAAATATGCCTGAAGATCTTTGGGTTTTTTTTGCCATTAAGAGCAGGCAGGGGGGCTACGGCCAACGCTTAACCAACTGCTGGCCCTCCTATTGCCACCACCCCCCCAGGCAAACCCCCTACCCCCATGCTCAGTGGCCTGCTGATCAACTGTCTGACCTCTCCTATCTTCACACTTCCAGTTCACCCCCCTGCCCCCCACCCTGCTCACACTTTCACATCACAAGTATGTCTCAGCTGTCCAGCTTTGCCTTTAAGCAGAGAGGTGGTTGTCGATTGGCTGAATTGCCCAACCTTTCAACAGGCTACCTTAAGCAGCTGAATAGCACTAAAAGGATGAAGGCCGAGGCTGAGGCCTACTGTTCTACATCTTTTTCATGGTCAAGAACAGAGCAGTGATGTATTCGAGAGCGTGGTGTCCATCAGTCTGCAGTAGCAGAACCTGAGAACTGTTCTAGCATACAGGCTTTTATACTGTGTATTTCCCCTGCAGCTGTTGGTACATGTACAATAGCTGTTTGTGAAGTCAATAAGGACGACAGACATTCTATTATAAGTCAGGAAACATATACAATCAATATTTAAGGTAAGCTAGCCATGTGATCAGTGCTTGGTGAGCTTTGCAAAAAAAAATAGGAAGAAAATAACTAGAAATAAGAATGAAAAAGAATGTTGATGAGAAATAAAAGTGCAGAAGTGTTTCTGTTAGATTACAATTATATGCATTTAGGATTTGTATAACATCTATACTGGAACTAAACCGTATCTCCAAAATAGAAACTTTGCAGGTTTAAGGGTTCAGCCGGCCCCGCCTGCTGCCAGCAGAGGGCGACGGCGGCAGGGTGTCCAGCCTGGGCCGCCTGCTGCCAGTAGACCTGCGGACTCCTCTACTTAAGGTCAAGGCAAACAGTGGTGTTTGTCACACCTTTGTAGAGGGGTGACCGGCACGGTACTTAGTGTCAGAAAAGAAAAGAAACTGCCCCAAAACTAAAAAGAAAAGAAAAGAGGGCTGAGAAAAGAAACTGTTCCCAAAGCTACTTAAAGGGGAAAAAAAAAGTTCTTGAGCTACAATCGGTTCAGAAAAAATAGAAGAGCTGTTTGCTCCACCAGGAGCAAACAACTGAAACAAAGTCTGCCTTCCCTTCATTCTTGGAGTGGAAGTGTTTTTTTGTTTTCCTGTTATCTGTCGTTTCACCTTTCTAGTTCAGCAGTGGTAACGCCACGGAGCGCCGATCAGTACATGGCTGGTTCAAACCTGGCTTTGGGTCACCACATCCGCATGTTTCAAACTCACAACCCAGTGCCCCAATAAACTCATTAATCCATTTTTCTCTCTGTTTCCATTTCTGCACTTGGGTCTGCCTTCCCGCCGTCCCGTAACAGCAGGAGGGAAAAAACCTTCTTAACTTATAGTGGGAATTAATTTAACAAGCTTTTTTGGACCATTTCTATTGATCTTTTTATTATGACATTTAACACAATGTAAAGGTTAACTGGAGTTTCAAATTATGCAAAAAAAAAAGATCAAAAATGGAGAAATGGAGGTTTTTGCCAAACAGCGATCATATTCAGGGTTGGTGCACATTCACAATGCTGCAGTAAGCAAAACACAGCTACATATCTTGGTGCAGACGTGCCTGTACCTTGTAGTTTTTTGACAGGTTTAATTAGTAATGTGGTCTCATCTTGTGCTTTAGTAAATGAGTAAAATTTCACTCTCCTCATGAAACTCGGTTATGAGATTCAAAAATACCACAAAATGACAATAACTTTGTTTCTGTCCACGTCTGGTTACAAGCCAGTTCAATGAGGTGCTTTGGATCTACAAATATGAACAAGAACCAAAGCAGGAGAACAGAAGTCTGACAAGCTCAAACAGTGACCATTAACACATTAGTAGTTTATCCATTGTTGGAATTCTACTCTGGCTTTTGTAGGGGTCTCTTCACGACTCTAACGATTGGGGTTGATAGGTGGGCTGCATGTGCAGAGTAGCTTTATTAGGGCAAATCCAAAATGAGGTATATGTATAGGGGCTTTTTCACACTAGACCTACATTCTGGACCCAGGACCACTTCCAGCAAACTCTGCACGTGTGGGGCTGCGTGATTGGTTCATTTTGTAACATGACTGCTTTGACTTATCGTGTTACTTCTCTTTTCATGATTTGTGATGGTGGGGAAAAGATTGTTTTGGACAAACAGTGCTGTCCTTTGCTGCTAAAGTGTTTGTATCCAAAGAAAATAATAAAAAGCAGCAAATTAATGAAGCTCGTGCCTATTATTTTGCAAACCTGCGTGCAGAAAAGTGACGTATGGAATTGTGTAAGTGATCCATGGTTTAGATGGAATTCTTATATGTAAAAGCAAACCAGTGATAATGAGCCCCTCCGCCAAACGAGCCCAGAATCAGTCCCGGGTGTGGACTCAAGTATTCAGGACAAATGTGAAATTGTGAAAAGTTGCTTTTGGAGTTTCTGGTCCTTTTAGAGTTTGTGAAAAGTTCTTGCTGCTGGTACACGGCTAATTCATCATCTTGGTTGTTGCCATGCCAACAGCAGAGACGACTGTAATTGGTCAGATAGTTCAGGTCACCAGCGAAAATTAAACAAAGTCGCATTTTCACTGTCTGAAAAATCACAATTAGAGTCGTAGGACACGATCCTACTGTCATTTGAATTATTTGCATAAATAAATCACGTTCAGTGTGCAAAGGCCTTTACACAGATCAAACCACAGGACACAAACAAACAAGCTCTATAAGGAGAACTTCAAATTATATTTATTTGATGTTCGGCTTGGAATCATGAAACTGATGTCTTGTTGTAAAAGACTAAACAGAAACAGTTTGAGAGTTTGATTTGATCTAATATTTCTTTTTCATATTCACTGCATAACTCAGCTGCCCCAAACTTCAGACTTTGTTGTTTTCAGGGCAGATCGCAAATGTATTTTGGGAGTTAAGCTAGCTCTGGCTTCCTCATCATTCAAATGATGAACACTCGTAAAAGTGAGTTCAGCATTGTTTCTGTCTTTATGTTTTCACTCTGAACAAGAACAAGGCTGGAGATACTTCAACTTCAGTCTTTACTACATCTCTACTGAGAAGAAGAGCTGGAGTGAGAGCAGACAGTACTGCAGAGAGAGAGGAGCAGACCTGGTGATCATAAACAGCAGAGAAGAACAGGTGAGAGAGAGAGAGAGAGAGAGAGAGAGAGAGAGAGATAATAGAGCACTGTTAATTACATTGTCTTACAAAATTCACAGGAGTTCATCAGTAAAGAATTTGGTAGCACTGAAGCTTGGATTGGTCTGACGGACATGGAGAAAGAGGGGGTCTGGAAATGGGTGGACAACTCAGCACTGACCACTGAGTAAGAGACCACTGAACTGAACTCTGTTCATGATGCAGTTATTCACTCTCTCTAAGAAGGTCTAGAGGTGTAATAGTGAAGATAATCTGATTCTCTGTGTTTCAGGTTCTGGTGGAAGGGGGAACCCAATGATTATGAAGGAAAGGAGGACTGTGCTGTAACTGGCTATAAAGCTGATGGATCTGAAAGATGTATCAACCTGGGCTGATTATCCCTGTGATCATCCTGTAGTTGGAATCTGTGAGAAAAAAATAACTAAGAGTGAATGAACTTTTATTTTATTCTTTTTATTTTTAAATAATGGAATAGAATACTTGCTATTCATCAATGTGTTTATTGATCAGTTCAACTATTAAAACATTATAATGATTGGGAGATGTGCTTGTGCTTGTTGTTTTCTGTTTAATGAATAAAAAGACATTAGATAAAATATTATGGGTAATTTAACTCAGAAACCCAATTAATAGGGGTCCAGATAGGCTAACATGACAGCACAGCACAGTATGATTACAAATCTATGATCACACATTTTGTTGTCTTGTTGTCTAAAAAAGTGAACCATCCCACACCTGAGTACCTGTGCTGAGCTTCAACGTATGGGCAGAGCTAGAAATAGTGCAGACCACTGATTGGTCAGAAACAGTGTTTGACACGGCTGTTGTCATAACCATTTTAGACAGTAAGAGTTTTCTGTCCAAGTAACACAACAGCTACCAAACACATCGAGCAGCGTTTGATTGAAGTCTATTCTGCTTGTAAAGAGTAGTGATGATCCTCCACGATCATTTTTTCTATTCAGTATTCAGCAACACACAGCTCACCTGTCAGGTACTGCATTGAATATGTATGGAAAACTGACTAGCATAGCCTTAGCAGCTTTAACCAGTGAGTCTATGTCAGGGGTGCACAGCTCTGGTCCTGGAGGGCTGGTGTCCAGCATGCTTTGGAGGTTTCCCTACTCAAACACACCCACTAAACCTTGCAATTACATTAAGTGTAATCAGGTGTGTTTGAGCAGGTAAAACACCAAACAGTATTGGACACCAGCCCTCCAGGACCCCTGATCTATGTCATTAAAGAAACTTGAAGACAAATACAATGACTTATTCATAGCGTTTGAGTTGTTTTTTGTTTTTTTTGTTTTTTTCGTAATCGTTGCTTGTTGCAGTTACAAAGATACACTTACAGACAGAGACCAGTCATAGACCAGATATAATGACAGGACCATAGAGAGAGAAAAGTTATAGACCAGTAACAGAGACACATGATTCTGATTGATTGTGAAATTCTGAGTCTTACTGAATTCATATTAGTGAAAATTGAACAGTTCCATGTAAAACTTTTCTTCCATGTAAGAATCCAACCTGATTCTTTCAAGAGCTGCTGTTCATAGATTCTCAGTTCCGCATTGATTTTATATAAATATAAGACAACACATTTATTACTGAATAGCGCCCTCTGCTGGTTAGAACTAAAACTCTCTGGCTTCTGTTACAGATGCTTCCTCTGTATGAGCTGAATGTCAGTGAGTTATTTCCATGTCTGTGATTCTTATCAGACTTCTAACTGTTGCCCTCAGCTTGACCATTATGAGTCTGGACTCAAATTACTGTAAAGACGCTTTGTGACGATAACCAGGTTTCCATCCACGTGTTTTAAGGCATGTTTTGACAGGTTGATTAAAAAGGGCTTGATGGAAATGGAAAATACTGAATAGAATTGTGAAAACATTTTATATCATTGATGTTGGGACAAAACCTCCTGATCTCTATTTTGTTGTTTTTTTTTGGACATAATTTGAATGACACTGCATGAAAATTTCATCATAAATTGAAAAATAGAAATGGTTCAAAATTCTAGGAACCAGACATTTCTCTGTTCATTTTTATTAAGGCTGCAGGCACCAGCTGACTATTGAAGAAATTAAAACGCATCTTAATTTATTAAGAAAAAACAGTATTTATATAGAGTGAAATTAGAGCACATGGTAACATTTTTTTATTCACTAGAATTTAATAAGATTTAATAAGCAGAAATGAATTAAAACATTTCTAAAGAAGAATCATCTGAGGCAAATGATGCCCCTCCTACACTTCAACCATGTTGTTTATACACGGTCATGTGACTCTCACAAACACAATGAAACAAAGGCTACACCAACACAAAAACATGAGGGCTGTAAACTTCTGGAAACAGTAACTTCTGAAAGAGTTTACACAAAACACAGTAATAGCAATGACTTGGAGAGCTAAGCTGGAATAGAAGAAGGGCCAAGTGTAATGCTAGGCCACCTCTAGCTGCTAGGGGGAGACAAGGCACCACTAAGGGGTGATTAGGGCTGAGCAGTAACAGCTGTGGGCACCCTACTTAAGGGGTGCTCTCACACTGCTTTCTGCTCAGTCCTGAGTTCATGCTGCTATGTGTCTGTCTCAGACTAAGCCAGTAATTTCGGTATTGTTTCCTCTCTTGAGTACTGGTTTCTTGAGTATCTCTCAGCGTAAGTATATAAAAAATCGCGTTCCCCTTTAGTTCTCTGAAACTATCTTTAGTTTGAAGATGCTCCTCTGGTGTGTTTTTTTTGTTGTTTGGCCTTAATTGCCCCTTTTTTGGTTATCAGCCCTCCTGCGAAACTCTCTACAGCGCCACGAGGTTGCGAGTTTGAGTCTCGGTAAAGCAACCCCCAGCAAAACGAATATAAATGTATTTTTGAAGGATGAATAAAGGGGATGTTATTAGACGTAGGACCGTCATGTCAATGATCAAAAATGCTGAAGACTCAACAGTACAGCGAGGCTGTAGCAGCTCTCCAGGCAAAGAACAACATGGCAAAGTTGAACCAGAGGTTAGCCTGTGAAGCCTACTGAACAAGCTTAAGGACTTCAGATGTGACAACAAGCAACAACTGACTGACATCAAACAAGAACTAACAGAAAAGTGGACTGATGAGGCAGAAATGAGGCTCCAACCAGCAGCAGCGCTACTTAAGTGTGTAGTTATAAGGTTTGGGTGCTATTACTTTTTCACACAGATGATATAGGTTTTGAATAAATCTTTATCTTCAATAAATGGAACGATCATTTAAAAGCTGCATTTTGTGTTTATTCATGTTGTCTTTATCTTATATTAAAATTAGTTGGATGATCTGAAACTTTACTTTTTCACAGCACTGTATATATTTAAAAAAAGATGTGGGTGGAGTGAAAGTGATGACAATGCATTCTTAACCCTCCTCAGGATCAGAATACACTGCTGGACAACATCCAGATACAGGATGCATCTGAATGCTAAATGTGAACAGGAACACAGACAGGAGGCCGGACAAACAGGGAACTGGAGCTTATCAGGAACAGTCAAAGGAGCTGGTGTTGGAGCAGCCCAGAGAGCTGGCAGCTGAACTGGCTCCTCAGTGGGCACAAGTGGAGCAGTGAGTGAGGCTGTAAGGGCAGAGGCAAGGTTCCCAGCTGCTGGCAGGGCAGTAGCAATTCTCTCGATCCCTGGTGGAGCAGCGGCAGCACGTTCAGTGGAGGCCACTTTCAGTGGCGGCTTTGAGAGAGCAACAGTGACACTATGGACCATGACTGTGCAGCAGTATATGCATTTTTATATACGATAACTGTATTATATTTCCAAACATAGAAAATAAATAAGGTTCCCAGCTCCATAGTATCATTTATTACACGGCAGAGTTCCAGTCAGTTCAGTTCCCATCTTTACTACATCTCTACTGAGCAGAAGACCTGGGACAGCAGCAGACAGGCCTGCAGAGAAAGACGAGCAGACCTGGTGATCACAAACAGCAGAGAAGAACAGGCAAATAAAATTATGTTCAGAAAAAATATACAGTACAAACATATAAAATCACAGTGTACACATAAAAATATTATAGATTATATTATATTAAATGCTGTTAGATATTGGTATTAGATATATTATGACTATTCTATTGGAACATTTACTATGTATAAATTACTGCTATGTTGCAACTAAAATGTATATTTATTACATAATTACATTTCTTGTTTCTGCACTTAACAAATATACTATATGTCCAAAAGTATGTGGACACCTGACCATCACAGGAGCTCTTTGGACATCCCATTCCAAAACCATGGAATTAGTATAAAGGTGCTTCCATTTCACAACAATCAAGTGCCCCAAGTTTAAAGTCACTGAGCTGTTAATTATGAATCTACTGCCAGTGTTTGTCTATGGAAACTGCATGACTAGGATTTTGTACACCTGTTAACAATACTGAAACACCTGACGCTCAAGAAGCAAAAAACAATCACAGTGAAGTAAAAAAACAGCTGAAAACACATTCAAAAGGCAGGTTAGTGCTTTTTCTTTTGGTCTTTTTTGACGACAACAAAATGAAACAGTGATCATTTTTTGGTTTTGTTAAACTTTTAAACTGTAATTGACAGCTAGCCTACATAATAATTGATATCCAGCAGCTCTTTTGCTCCTTTTTTGACAAGGCAGCAGGATTTGATTAAAACTAGTTGTATTAGTTTGCCAGCCCTTTGACATAATATTGCATTTTTGTATGATTACCACTGACACAATACATCACAAAAATAAACATGAAGCTTTCTTGGGGGCCCTCTGGCAGTCACAAGGGCCCTAAGTAGCCATTTAGTTTGCGTATGCGTCAGGCCACCTCTGCCTAAAAGTGTTTATTAGAAGAAATCAGTTTATTTCATCAGGACAAAATCATAAATATTTCATTTTGCTATTATTTTATAGTTATGATGAAAAGAGGACTAATGTCTAATGTATTCAAATAATGTATTAAACGTATCAAATAATACTAATGTATCAAATAATGAGTCGTCATTCCCATCACTTTGAAGAAAAAGTTGGAAATACTTTAAACTTGGTAACTGGATAGCTAACATCTAATACACATTATTTATGTGTGAATAAAATGACCCTGGCTATTTATGAACTTACATAGTTACATATTTAGTAATGAAGCTTTGGTGTTTTGGAATGATGACGTATTGGAAGTCTTAAGATTAGGATTTCTCCATAATCAGACATTTTCAGCTTAAATGTGAACAGAAGGAGCTGTTATTTAGCTAGAACCCTGTAGTTGTTCCTTTACATTGAAATAGTTTGGGTTATATTGTATGCATACACACAGGAGCAGGAAGCTAGTCACTAACAGCAGCTTGAACAGGAAGAGGCCAGCTAACCCTGTTGACAGTAGAATGATGTCAGGCCAGCAGACGCAGCATGGGGGAGGGGCTGTTATGTAGTCAAATGAACATCTCAGTCACGTGATGTTCCTCTGCTCATGAAGTCATCATGTGACTGTCAGAGACACCACATTTCTTCTATGCTTATCACTGTTTCACATCTACAGTAGCTCTCAGACCACAATGTAACACACTGTACTAATGCTGTTTGCTGTCCAGTGTCAACCGGAGGAGGATGGGCTCCCCTTTTTGAGTCTTGGTTCCTCTCAAGGTTTCTTCTTCTTGCTCTTAGGGAGTTTTTTCTTGCCACTATCGCCATTGGCGACGCTCATGGGGGCTCAGACCTGGATTTTTCTGTAAAGCTGCTTTGTGACAATGCCTGTTGTAAAAATGCCAAATAAATAAACTTTGACTTGACTTGACTAAGTTCAATGCTGACTCAGCACTGCACAGTTTAAAGCTCCCCTGCACCACTAATGGATGGATGGATGGATGGATGGATGGATTGATTATACATTCATCAAAGATGATTGTTTGTGGAATAAAACAGTGTTAGATCAGGAAAAACAGTATCTTGGCACAGCAGGATTGGATCTGGGCTTGATGAGCCTTGAGAACTACTTAACAACCCTCATCAGCCAATATTATACTTCTGCCTCTAGGATTCCAAATCATTATGTATTTTTCTGAAATTGCTGAATTCACCTGTAAGAGGGGCAAAAATACAACAGTCTTACAACAGCATGAAGACATTATGGGCTACATCTACAAAACATTATACACAATTACAGCTCTTTCATGGGACAGCAGCAACGTGTAAAAGAGAACATGTGGTCTGGACTCTGCTCTTT